CCTAACCTCAGCATTGCTAGTCCGGTTACCCCACCAGACACGTGCAACAAAAGGAAACTATCGATGCCGCTAAACCCCTATGCCCAATGCGGTTATTTTTCTAGTGAATAGTAAGTCCCCTTCTGAGAATTCGTGCATCACAGAGTCTATCACCGCCCGCTAAAATTCCCCCCATCGATTGATATCAGTGGACGAGCATTGTATCATGAAGTATGAGTCACCTCAAATAAAATTTTTGGTTTGTCTGCTGGGTTAGCGCAATTGAATCAATTACCTGTCGCACCTTGTTTCGAATCTTCATATAGCATACACTGTCTGGCGTTACCAAAAATCTAGATCAGATAGCTGTCTTTTGAGTGCCTCCAAAACGTTTTGGCAACAGGTCACACCTCATGGCACAGCAGAGTGGATCCAACTTTTCTGAAAGTATTTAGTTATAAGTCACATAACCTGAGCCAATTGTTGTTTGATTATGTAGTTAAACCCAGTGAAATTAGTAAGTCAGACACTATAGTATCACGATTGTTTTCAGCGAAAGATGAAAATTTGGCCCTTATTCGTGATATTCCCTCTCTCTCGCTCACTTTCACACAGAGTGGCGTGATTTTAGACCCCATGTGTGGAGCCGGGGTTCTCTTATGTGAGGCTGCTATTCGGATGGACTCTCGTACTGCGCGCCTCGAACACTGTGCGTTCTTGTCTCGTTCTTCACTATTCCTGGTCGGGATTGATTGCTGTGAAGACCAACTGGATCGTGCCCGGAAAAATCTGTTGCACACAGAAACGCAACTGGTCCGGTCCCATTCGTATTGGGATCTTGTTTGTTGTTCTGCCGAAAGTGAGTGGACCCGAAATGGAATACAATAAGAACTGTTAGGCCAATCTATTTTGACCTGGTTCGGTTTCATCAACTGTGCGAGTTCATTGACTGATCGATTTTCTCCCAGGTGGTAAACTGTCTGATCTGCAGTATGCAGACGATATTGTGCTGCTCACTGCAGATTCAAGTAAGTTGTAATCATTTATGGATAGTTTGAGTGCTAGCATAGCCTTCTTCTGTATGCAATTCGCACCTTCAAAGTTTAAAGTGCTATAGGATTGGGTCGGCTCAGCTCCCAACCTCACGCTATCTGCGGAAGTATTAGATAAAGTAGATAAATTTTGCTACCTGGGCAGCTGCATCTCACCTGGCAGATGCATCACAGATGAAGTGTCAGCTGGGATACAGGAAGCGGGACTGGCATTTGCCGACTTGAGAAATCTGTGGCGCTGTCGCAACATCGGGCTGTTTGTGAAGGATCGAATGTGTGCTACAGCAGTTAGGCCAGTGCTACTTTATGGAACAGAGACTTTGCCATTACGGGAACAGGATAAAAGGTAGATTGTCGGTGTTTGAACATTGCTGTCTACGCAGCATTGCCCGAGTCTTGTGGTGCAACTGGTCAAGCAATGCTGAGGTTAATCGCCGAGTTTTAGGTGATAGCGGTCGTNGGCGCAAGTAATCGACTTCCATAGATTGCGGTAGTTGGGAGATGAGTTGCATGTGACCAAATAGATTTCCACGTCGTCCGATGTCTGCCAAGATAGGAAGCGGTTGAAAAAGGGCAAGGGTGGTCGGACTAAGACCTGGCGTGCGGGTATGCAAACCCTAACCAATACACTTGGTCACATAGGTCCTGTTAGGCTCCCTGGATGGGGATCTCGGGATGATCGTAACCGGTGGTTAGAGATATTAAGTGATTTAGCTGGGTTGCTCTTGTTCATCTACTCATTATTCTTGTAACTCGAGTATATATGAATTCTCTATCTTAAATTTGACTCTACTCTCAATATTCTAACCTTCATTCTGCTGTCCCATCCAAATGGGCAACCAAACCCGGCGCGCGAAAGTGCATGGGTAATGGTTGCGAAAACTGAAAACTGACCGATTTGGGGATCGAACTCCGGATCCTAGGTCGGGTTTGTGATGTCCCCAGTCGAGATTTGCCCTTGTTTGCTTGTGTTAAGATAAGCGGGGTTAGATATCCCCTGCAAAAGTAGGGTTTGCTATAACGATTATGAATGTGGTCGGAACGTCTGGTCAACAGCCATCCTGTGGTCAAAAGTTTAGCGTGCTTGCGTTCCACCTTTGAGGTCTTGGTTGCAACCCTCGTTGGTAGCGATAGTTTTGTACGATGGACGAGACCCAACTCAATCAAAACGGTTTTAAAGTGCTTTCAAGCTTTCCATTTCAAGTTTATTTTGCTTTCAGGATGAAACTGTTCTTCAATAAATAAACTAACCTCCACTGAGGATCGCACATCACCCAGTAGTTTACGAGTAAATGTGGATTTTAGCCAACCCGATCCGTCATGTTGGGAAAATAACCCGTGGTCTAGCATTTGAAAACAATCATCATTATGAAACGTACTGATGAAGCTGTTGCCAGGCACATATTTTCAATCACGGGCTTTCAACAAACTAGAGACTGAGTATCTGAGCACGTTCTGCCGAGGCTTCATTCAGTTTTATCGTTTCATTGCAGATCTACCGTTCCGCCCCGGTGTGTTCGATGCTGTCGTTTGCGACCTGCCATTTGGCCAAAAACATGGTGCTGTTGACCGAAACTTAGTGAGTTTTGAACGCGAAAAGTTGGAGAAACTGTATGAACACGTGTTGAGCAGCATACCGCGGTACGCAATTCGGTGCTGACAAGCCGTTGTTTTTCTCATCATAATATGACTACTCATAAGTAGCGTTAACTACTGCTTTTTAAAATTCATTTACATTTTGTGCTCGTGACGCGATAATTTATTATCTTTCTTGTTTTGTGTCACTTTCCTCAAAAATTTGATGTGAAAAGGATGCTGAGACGATCAGTCAACAATTCGTTTCGGCGGTACACTTGTCACATTCCTGTTTACTCTTGATGCATTTTGGGACTCAAAATCTCATCTCCCGCTGATATTGTTACAATTGTTTGCTGAGGGATCTTTTCTGTGATCTACAATATGGCCTGATGGGTTTGCGTGGTTTGATTTCCTCTTGCCTGATTTTACTCATGCAAAGTTTACGGGGTGAGAGAGCGAGTAGGTTCGACGTGTGTGTGTGTGTGTGTGTGTAGGAATGTATTTCTGCGGCACGATAAAGATAGCGAAAATGGTTGAAGATCCAATTAAATAAACATTCTTGGATGCGGGGATAATCCTTGATTCTAAGAGATGATCATTTATAAATTAAAAAGGTAGACACACGCTTGCAGCTTTTTGCCACTTCTGTGTTATTCGGTGTACATGTAATTCAACCCATCGTCAAACTTGCCGTTCTATATGACATATATTACGTCTCACGATCCACCTTTTACTTTCCAAAAACCCAATCCCTTTCACTTTTTGGCAGTATTCTTCAACCTGAGGGTCAGTATGCTTTACTGGTTGGATCCTCACTGGCCCAATTCACCCGAACACTGCTTCACAATTTGCATTGTTCAATAGACATGGACGAGTCTATTTCCCTGGGTCTCACTGAGGCGCGATTACTCAGTGGTGTATTGGAATCGGGAGATTGACGAGAATCTTGTCATGGTTACCACATTACTCGAACATGTTATGCTACTCTTATTCCTCCTGAAAACCCCTACAGACTAAATAACAGTGATGCGTTCTGAGTTTTCTCCACCCAGATATACTGACGTTTTCTGTATATCAAACTGTACCGATCACCCGACAAACGACCTGTTATATATATATATATATGTATATAGATTGTGATTGCACGTTTGCAGTTTACAATTGTCTTCCCGTTACTTGAATCGGTTCTCATAACTATGACATCAGGTTCAGGTATAGCTGTGAAGTTCGATCATTCTATTGTTCAACACACCAAGGGTTAGATTGCCGTCGAAGATTATCAAGTTAAGTCGCGTATACATTTTGTTCATCCATTTTGGCAAGATTTTTCAGTTGTAAAAGGTACCGCTTTTGGTTTGCACACAGGCGAATAAAATGGTTTTAAAGATATGACGTTCAATAAATAGGCTATGCTGATTAAGAGCGAGAACGCACGTCAGGAGTAGGAAACTGCAGCATCAATTACCTGAGGTTGTATCTCAGTTAATTCGGCAGTCTTATCCTGGAAACCAATTGTTGTATTCCGTATAAGTCAATAAGTACGCAAGTAGTGAATTGAGTAGTTATTCTATTTCCAGTACGTAAATGCAAACGTAGCAGGTCTGTAGGCCGGCAAGCAAGTAGTGCGCTGACACGCAGACAGGCAGGCACAAACTGGCGCAAGCGTTACCAAGACGGGAGAATGTTGTCACGCTGGGCAGTCAACCAACCAGTCAATGCGGGCAGGTCAATACTGACCTCTGATTCACTGAGGTGGATAGACCTTGTAACAGATTAAATCCGTGTGACGTGCGTACGTGCGTGTGGGGGCAGGCTGCAACCGTCAATCACGTGATTTGCGGTAAACGTTTCACTCGATTGCAGGCCACAACATCAATAAACGAGAAAGATAAAATACAAGAGAACTGTGAAAAGCTGTGCATTGAGGATGATGGCTATCACATATCTCAGTCAACCAAACCCCTGGTGTAGCACATAACTTAGTTTTGAGCGATGAAAATCAAGTAAACTCATTACTTTACTCGGACCGGCTGGCTTCATGAAGACCATGTAGTTCCATCGGGGTTCGATTCCAGGGGTATCTCAGCGTTATCCGGCTTTTTCGAGGTTACATCTTCACTCTACAAACAACATGCCAACTGTTAAGCTAGCAGTGTTTTGTGGTATGGTTTCCAGTCACCCCCTAGAAAGCCATGTTAGTCAAGGAGACGTTTTATTTATAGCCGTTGGGTCATACAGTAGATCTCGTCCACCAGCTCAGTGATAACCGTACGCTGTCTCGCCGAGGGTTTTAGGTCTCAGTTACCGTATATTTTGGTTGAACCCACCTGTCGAGCGATTTATCGTGCGCCTTGGAATTTCGAAACTTCAGGTAAAATTTTAGTAAACTGAACACTTATAGGATGCTTGGAGGACACGATAGTGAACCAGCTGCAAAATACCCGTTGTCAGGCGCAGTGGCAGTGACCAAACCTGACACATTCACGCAGGTATCCTACCAAACTAAAGTAGTGCTACCATTAAATGGTGATCAAATCCCAGCCTAATTCTTAATGGTTCTTTTCTCAATGCTATCAAATCCTTTGATTGAGTACGCAGTTGGACAAACAATTATCTGGACGGTGAAAAGTGACCAATCGAAAGACTGTGGTGTGATGGAAGGTAATGGGCGGCGGCTGTGGTCAGTTTCGAAAGAGGGACCTCTATCTGGGAGTGGTGACGATCTCTACCGCTGGACTGCAGCCTGAATTTCGAAGGAAGTACCTGACTCCTTAACGGATAGCGCACGTTCATTGTTTCCCCACATTCTCCGCAAACAGATATCATTGATCGACTACTTTGGTTCTGCTCCTGTGAACTTTTGACGCTCGTTGGACGACCATACGGTGTTCCACTCTAACAAGCCAGCTTATCTAAATCGATCTCACTGTAGTAGGCTACCACTAATATGGTATATAATACAAAATTGTCGATTCTATTAAACCGCCTGCGTCGAGTCCAGCCACGCAATAGTCAAGGTCCACTTAGTAGTCTGACTCACGGGGTATCGGTCCAAGCCACAATCTGAGATTGCGCATTATCCTGTGCTCTAAGGGGTTGTTTGCGCCCGCCAAGAGGCATAAACTAATAGCAGCGGTGTATCATTGCGAACACCATTAGACAGTATTGCAACGACGAAAAAGAATTCAATGGTTACAGTCCGAGCGAAGCCACAGACTCTGGATCATATCCTATCGGTGAAAAACTATCTTCGTTCGTTATGGACAGTTATTGTCTCGCCTAAAGGCAACCAGGGGAACACAACGGAGAAACCCAGATGTTACAAAATAAAGGGCTGTGATTTTAGTCCAAAGAACATACGAAAATCATGCATCTAATAGTAAACTATCTAGCCAAGTGGTAACGCAAAATTACAGAAGAGTTCCAGTGATAATAATAATAATCAATGGCAAACAGAATGAAAAGCAGTATATATGAGATAATGTTGACTGAAGAGAACTTTTTTGTACTCTTGTAACAGATCCGGCAAGCGAATTCCAGTGCAAAATAGCCAAAGCAACTTCAAGATAACCACGGTAATGGTCAGCGAGTTTCACCCAAAACCAGTCGTAACAAAAGTAGAATAGGGGCATACCGAGTCTCATATGGCTTCAGAATAATTGTTTGCACTACCTGTTTCTGACTGCGCATGCGAACGAAACATCAAACAACCCATACGTCTAATTTCAAGAGTTTTCACCATTTAAGGTCACTACGCAGTATGTCTGCTCTAATCGGTAGGACGACCGTGTTTTCTCTACCCCATCTGTTTGAACTTACAGTGGAGGAAAATCAGTGGGACGCAATTCATTTATCTGATAATATCACTTTCGAGGTCATAGTGCTGTATATTTTGTTCCGATAGTATTTGACGCCACTGTTGCGGTAAGATACAGCTGCATCTGTTGATCATCGGTTCGCTACGAATGTACAGAAAAGCGCAGAAATATTCTTCATATCATATTTGACTATCATTCAATCTGTTCAGCACCACCACATTTCGCTAAACAATCTTTTTGAGCCATTTCTCGTGATTTCGCCAAACTTCACTTCTCGAACCGTTGAGGAAGGGAACCCGGTTTGACGGAGTCTAACCGAAACGTAGAAAACATTAATATATATTGCTCTGGACCATGAAATGGTATCTGCCATGTGTAAGCAGTTTTGTCAGCACCGGATTCGGAGGCGTCGCGCATAACATTACACATCTCATTACATATCTTTCTTCTCTTATACTTCTGGTTAGCTGAATGTACCTCAGTTAGTGCATGGTGCATGGCTTGCTGAGCTATTTGAGACACTCATTTTTCCAAAGGGAGCATGATGTTAGTAGAACCATGTCCTGAGTTAGAGATTACGAGGAAGAACGAAAAATAAATAAGAAGATCCGGGACAAAATAAATTTTTCAGTTAATTTATTGTTATGTACACTAAATCGGTGTTAGGAGTGATAGGTAACGCGTTGAAACCCAAAGTTCAACAAAAATGATCATCGGAAGTTTGAGATAATGGCTGCACAAATTCGGGATGTGACTGCTAAGGCAAGGTCCTCCTGCAAGGGTTTATTGATTGGCTTGGGTTAAACTGAAAATAATGTCTCCAGTTTGATTATTCAATGCTTGGTCATTTCGGCGGTTCATTCTTAGTAATGTAAAAATCTCTGAGACTAGGGCTTCGACACGTGAACTCCAACGTTTGTCGAAACCAACAAATATCGATCTGATTGAGTTCTTTTGTTGAACTGATTAAGGACACCTTCGAGCGGACAGGTACGGTCGATACACTAAATCGTTACGTAGAGGTCTTTACCTGCATAGAATTTGCAATTGGTTAAGTTTTATTCAAAAAAACTTGTTAAAATGGAAACAATGCGAATCAGATTGTGGTCTCATCAAATGGGTTACAATTGGAAATTGCACCCCACCAAATACACGCCTACTAGGTAAGTGATTGGTATAACGAGGGAATTTAATCGGTACTGTAAAATCTGATGAAAATTGCATCGCACTAGTCTGAAAGGACTGTAAGCGAGAGGAGGATCGGATGAACGGTGTTGACTTTAGGTGGAAAGAATGAGGTAGGCACGGGTGCGCACCAACACTGGTGTTTGACCCGCACGGATTGCACTGCTTTGGGCGTGCATTGCAATTGTCATCGGATCGGTTCTCCCATAATTTGTTCATGCAGAGGCAACTTGTTTTTGCTAGAAAGGCAATGATAATCATGCAATGGCCTATATATAGTATTAGTAATAGTAGTAGTGTACATAGTATTATTATTATATTTCACACACGTTTGAGTTCAGACTGTGAAACAAATCGCGGTACAATAATCTTTATAAAAAGAAGAACGTTCCACGATTTGCTTGTGGGCTAAATACTACCACGTTGTCCGGGCAGTCCAAGGCAGGTGAATTTTCTTGAGGAATCCACAACCGGAGCCTTGGGCTAACCAAAGCCTGACCCGCAAGGCAGGGGGCGGTGTGCGAAAACCGTAGTCCATTGGGAGCCGGTGTCTAGTTCACCGGATCATACGCCCTTCGGACGGGGTCGGACGTCCAAGGTGCCCAATATACCTCAATGCCCAATCGAGCTGGTGACCACTGCCACAACCAAAAAGGTGTGAGTGTGGTTCGTAAGTCTCCTCATGGTTGGTTTGGAATCAGGGTTTTTGGCCAACTCCCCTAGGTGAACTCCGAGTTGTCCACCAACCCGACTATAGCCCCGGATATCGGCTTTTCGTCCTCTCACTTTGGTGGGAAAACACCTCCGCCGCGAGAAGGCAGTGATTATGGCTTCCTGAGTAGAGGCTATTTGAGACGCTTTGTCGTATGGGAGCATTTCGTGAGGTGCAAGGGCAGGGTGAACAGCCGCAACCCTAGACACCCACCCTCGACCATATTGAAGCGTTTGCAGGCGGAAGTTGGACGTAGTATGTCCGAGTTGATTTTGATGGTAAAGTGTTTGACTTTCATGGATTGTGATGTACTGTTAATTTGCATAAGGACTAGAAGACATGAAGGCATTTGATCAGGTGCCATAAATAATGATTTTGATGCCTTTTCCATCCATCTATCGTTATGCATCTGTCCCATTTCCTGTATTGATTAGTTGACTTGGTAACAATAGCCTAAAAGCAGAGAATGAGGTTGGACGAGAGGTGACTATTCTGAACTACATATATATATATATATATATATATATATATATGCGATGGAAATGTTTGTGGTGACGGACACAGCACTGGACAGCCGTTTCGTCCTGTTTGGGACTCGTCAGCAGTACGCGTACTTTTTGTATCCCTGTCAGGACTCAAACCGCGAACGTTCGGGTTAGGACTTCAAACCCTTACCCCTAAGCTACACGGTCGACGGTCATCATCTTGTGCGAATGGCTCACTAAATTTTTAGAGTAGCATGCTTGGATAAGCCCATTCGATTGTTAACAATATTAACAAGCATGCTTCTTCAAAAACACATATGCACGTTTCCGTTTTTTCATCTTACTGAATTACGACAAAGGTGACAGATCCTCTTGTGAAAACCACAACAGTTTTATCAACATTGCTCCGAAATTTCTCACCGGGAACACCCCACTGATTATCTGCCGCACGTGAAGAGTGTACGCGACAGTATCAGACTCGTTTTAGACCTGGTCGAGGTTGTATCGACCACATTTTCACTCTTCTCCAAATTCTGGAGCAACGACATTTTTTCGTAAACCCACTGTCTCTGTTTTCCTCGATCTGAAAGCATACTTCGTCTCAGTCGACCGCTTGAAACTTTGGCGCTGTCTGGCTCTGAGGAGTTTCCGATTTTAATATTAAGACTCCTTACTACTACTAGCCGAAACCGAGACTGAGCCTACGGTACATTTTCTCCCGAGTTCACCACGGAAGGCGGTGTTCCTCAGGGTTGCCCTCTTTCTCCTTTTCTATGTGACTTTGTTCTAGATTTGATTATGGAAGCAGTCCTATCTTAGTTCGATGATAGTGGTATTAAGTTGCTTCCTGATGGCAGACTTTCTAATCTGGATTATGCGGACATCGTACTGTTAAGTGAAGATCAAGGTAGGTTGCAAGCTTTTCTGGATAGTTTGAGTGCTAGTGTAACCATGTTCAGTATACGTTTTGCACATTCAGAGTGTAAAATGTTGCTAAACGACTGGGTGGGTTCAGCACCCAGCTCCATTCTAACTGTGGAAGTAATAGAGCAGGTGGATAAGTTGTTATTTGGACATTTACATCTCACCTGGTGGATGCATCACGGATGAAGTGTCAGCTCACGTACATTTGGCATTTGCCAACTTGAGACGTGTGGCGCCGTCGCGACATCCGGCTGTCTGTGAAGGATCGAATGTATGCCGCGGCATTTCGGCTAGCTCAGAAACTTGGCCATTAAGAAAACAGCATAAGGATAGACTGTCGGTGTTTAAACACCGCTGTCTTCGTAGCTTGCACGAATCTGGTGGGGCAGCCGGACGAGCAATGCTGAGGTTAGGCGCAGAGTTTTAGATAAATGCGATCGCCCACTGGAGCAGGTGGTCGACCTCCATATATTGCGTTGGTTGGGACATATGTTATGCATGCCACTAGATCAGTTTCCACGGCGAGCGATATCCGCCGAGTTAGTTAGTGGGTGGAGAAAGGTCGAGGGTGATCAGGCTAAGATTTGGCACGAGGGTATGGAAACCCTAACCACGAGATTCGGTCATGTAGGTAGTGTTGGCGGTAGACAGCGTTGCTGTCATCCGGTTCAATATCACGCCTAACCTATCGGGGCCTTATGTGGTTCGCCACTCCAAGTCCCGGAGCTTAAGTTACCGGTTTTCATGACGGAGCAGCAGGTTTTCGTGACTATGGGGTTTCACCCCGTCTGCTGTTCACCACACAAATGTGTAATAAAAAAGAAAGCTCCCTTGATGGGGACCTTGGAATCATTTTAATCAGTGATTAGAGACATTGAGTGATGTGACTGAATGTCTCTAAGCAATGAGGTTCGTGCATCCTCGGTTTCTCTTCAACCTTATTCCACTGAAATTCTTGATTTTCTCTTCGACTCTAGTTTCAACTTCTGTCTTCCTCTAACTGTTGGATCCAAATGGGCAGCTAAAAGATAGCAACCAAAACCGACGCGCAAAAGTACATGGTTATTGGTTGTACTAACTGAAACTTTCGGTTTTTGTTATTCTCTGTATGATTGACCACAGTACCCAGCAAATCGAATGCTTTCGTCTCTCGTTTCGTCCATCCTTCACCTGTTTTTTCTTACCGATTCCATCACGAACGCTTTCATGCTTTCTAGCAATTTTCTCAAATATCCCCTCTCAGCTAGCTAATCATCCGAGGGCAATCTTAGGCATAATGATGGTACCAAACACAATTGAGCACCAATTCTCACCAGTGTAAGCTTATCATGCGAGTCAAAAAGCCAGTATGTCACTGACCATAGAAGCTCCGCTTTCGTACATTGCCGCCGAACATAAATCATTGGTTTACTGTAGAACACGGCCAAAAGTGAACCAATTTAACTTATACGGTTGATTACAGAGGAAATGCGTGCACTGGGTGGTTTGCTTTTTCGTACAGTCTCAATTTATTTTCTGGGAGTCTCTTGTGCAGCCCGCGTGGGATGGAGTGAGCGGGCTAGTAACCTAGAGGTAAGTCGTCAACTGATTGAGAAAGCATCGAAAATGATATCACCAGCGCGTCCAATTCAGCTTAATAGGCTCGTTGGCTAGGATGATCGCCTACCGCAGCGCGCTCACTTGCAGTGGCTGTTGCAAGCTGGAGAAAATCACTTGAAGACCAGCAGATGAAGTGGAAACGAGGCATAAAGAAATGCACAGAGCGATTAGGTAGAGTAGGTGTTTTTCGTCTTCCGGGTTGGGATCCAAAAGACTCCGCAACTGGATGGTTGGAGACACTGAAGGAGATGGCAGCAAACCGACAGCGGCGGCGATGTTAATGTCATTTCTTATCAGACTAGAATGATTGAAATAGAATTTATGCACAGTTGGACTGTGAACTTTGTGTGTACACCATGGAAGTTCGTCTTCTTTGCCCCAATCCCTATCCTCTTTACACATTCTCGCTTACCTTGTATGCAATATGAGTTTGGTAACGATCAGTGAAGTTCGCTTCATTATATTATACTGTAAAATGATGTTAACTGGAATCCTCATTCTTTGGGTCTTGTTGACGCCTGGCCGATGTTCACGTGACACGCGTAAACCCGTCGGAATCACGTGATCGCCAGAATGTGTGTGCATAACCGTAGTGCACGTGGTTCTCCGTTTGTCTATTGCTGTTCGTACCACTGAACAAACGACGCCACCAGTCTTTTTTGCTGATCGCTCGTCAATCTAATTTTAGTGTTTCAGGTGCGTGACTTTGTATGTACCACAGACTGTCGGGTGTTTCTCACAAAAATGTACTAAAATAACTCCACTTGTATGCCTCAGTGCTGCCGAGTGTTGTCCCGTCGTCTCCTGTCCGTATGCATTCATGTATACGGTGGTCTCCTATATCCCCCCCGGTCAGGTTCGCGAGTGCCTAGCACACGAGCTCGGTGTCCCGGTTCGTGTTGTCCAGGTGTGGTTTCAAAATCAACGGGCACGGGACAAGCGTGCTTCTCACTCCAAACGATCTTGGCTCCCGGTTCAATCCGAATGGCCCAAAACGAAACCGCAACCAAATCCGCATCCTAGCCCAACGGCAATCACTCCGTCTCCACGAACGTCAGTTGAAAGTGGTGAGTTCGATTGTCCGATTCTCAATCCACGTGCTCGTCTGTATCGTTTCGTGATAGTAGCGGCTAGCTACATATAGCACGTAGTAGTAGTCTAAAGCCAATTCATTCCAACAAATCATCGAAAATGACGACATCTATGTAATTGGTTACCATCATTATTTTTGTAATAAAGTGCTACTCACATTAGTGCGTAGTGAGTTTGACACGCATCCCAATGCGGTTGATGGATTCTCACGGCGTCTGCGAGCGGTATAACGATCCGATATTTTAACTACAGAAGATATGTTGAATTGTAGACCATTGATCAAGAGCCAGTCAATCAAATTAGATACATTTCGTATCATCCTATTTACCCGTTATCAATATATATATATATATATATATATATATAGTAGATATATATATATATATTTCATAATAAGTAGCATATAATTGACTAGACAAAATTTCCGTGGAGGCACACGACCGGTTTCGTGGTTCTTACCGCTCCTCAGGTATGCGTCTCCGGTAATCTGTCACCTCATTC